CCTTCTCTCCCCTCAATGTACCTTTCAATCTATCCTGCCTCTCCCTTCCCTATCCTTTACTTCCTTTGAAGTTCACACTGTCCGCATAGTTAAGCCTACTCCTTTAACAATTGCCATCATCTATCGCCGAGGCTATTCATTGAACACTTTTCTTCTTGACTACCCCACTTTCTCTCCTCTAGCACTCCTTCCCTCATACTTGGGGACTAGACATCATGGCACTTCCTACATTTAAACGCTGCAACGCTACAACCCTGGCACACCAAGCTGATCCGATATCTCAAAAGAATTTCCAAAACTGCTGGACACCGTTTGAGAAAGTCTCACTCTGCACCTGACTTCCTCCACTATAAATTTATGCTGAGCTCCTACACTCTGGCTCTTTCCTCTGCAAAAGTAAATTACTTCAAAACCCTCATAAGCACACTGTCCCGCCAACCCAAATGCCTATTTCACACTTTTAATGCTCTCCTTTGCCTGTTGCTCCCCCTCCTCCTACCCTGTCCGCCTCAAACTTTGCAACTCACTTCACTGAGAAGATTTCTACAATCCGGGAAGAGATCTCTAACCTCTCTCCCTCCCCTTTCAATACATCTTCCAATACATCACGCAACCCTTCTCACTTGATATAAAAAAGATTGAGGCAGTGGGGGTTGGGCTTAACAAGCGGTGGGGCAGAGCTTATCGTGAGGTGGAGGCGGGGCTAATACCTTCCCAAAGCCCCTGGTAACTGCTGCACAGAAAGAGGGAAGGAGTCCCTGCTTCCCCAACAACCAACTGCATCCACTGGAAAGAGGTAAGTGTGTGTGTGTGTGTGTCTGACTGCCTGTCTGTGTGTGTGTGTGTGTGACTGTCTGTCTGACTGCCTGTGTGTGACTGTCTGTCTGACTGCTTGCCTGCATGTGTTTGTGTGTGTCTGCCTGCATGTGTGTGTGTGTGTGTGACTGTCTGTGTGACTGCCTGCGTGCCTGTGTGTGTGACTGCCTGCCTGTGTGTGTGACTGTCTATCTGTGTGTGTGTGACTGTCTGTTTGTGTGACTGTCTGCGTGTGACTCCAATTGTGTGTGTCGCTGTAGCTGTGCCGTTGTGTGTGACTGACTTTAACTGAGTGTGTGTGTGTGTGTGCGCATGCCTGTATCCGAGTGTGTATGACTGTCTGCTTGTAATGGAGTATGTGTGACTGTCTGCTTGTGACTGTGTGTGTGACTCTGTGCCTGTAACTGTTCGTGACTGTGTGCCTGTAACTGTGTGTGACTGTCTGCCTTTAACTGTGTGTTTGGCTCTGTGACTGTCTGCCTGTAACTGAGCATGTGTGACTGTCTGCCTGTAACTGTGTGTGTGTGTGTGTGACTGTTTGCCTGTAACTGAGCATGTCTGACTGTCTGCTTGTAACTGTTTGTGTGACTGTCTGCCTGTGCCTGTGTGTGTGACTATATCCAGGCAACTTGGTGGAAGTTGGAGGAGTACTGGGGGGGTGCGCCGTGAAGACTTTTCGCACAGGGCGCCTAATTGCCTAAGGCCGGCCCTGTGTGAGGGGTTTCACTGTCTGTGAGGGTGTACTGTGTTCAGGGGGGTGTAGAGAGTGGGATAGGGAAGAGCTTTACGATTTTTATTTTATTAATTGTTTAAAAAAATAAAAAAAAATATTATTCCCCTTTCCCTCAGATGGCGGTAAATTACATATGTGTCGAATGTCATACTATTCTTGTAAGTATTTGCATGGGTGTTTATGTTTTAAGCAGCATTTTGTGAAAATATCTTCACATGTTTTTTTCTATGCTCAAAATATAGATACTAGTGTGAGATCTGCAATAGCAATCATAACATATTTAGGAAGTTTCTAAATAGTCTGGTACTTAGACTACATACAGTATTAAACCATTATATTTTGTGTGCATCACACCGGTTATCCAAGGCAATTGAGACCCTGGGTTCTTGAACATAAGAACTTTTGAGAGCCCTGGGACATTTTAATTTACACTAAGAATTTGACAATTATTTATAAGACAGCAAAAAGACTGCTAATATTATTTCATGTATAAACTATAAAATCAATACGTAAATATGCTGATAGTAACATCCGACCTAAACATGTGTTTATTTCCCTGAAATCTGTCATTTAGACTTAGATGTTGCCCCTCGTGGTCTCCTGAAAAGCCATTAGTCTGATTTTTAGCACCATACCATTATAAGTCCTGAGTTTCCTGAAAACACGATTTGGAATATTGAGAGAATTTTCCAATAACCTCTTCTATTAATCATCATTTTCATATACCTGCTAATTTTTTAATTATGTTATTGTTGTGGAAATGAGATATTGATATATTTTCTAGTTAGTAAAATGACTATTTACTCATCTCACCGAAATCAGTATATAAGCTATTCACGCATATTTAGACAAAATGGCTACTAGGAGCTTCTAACCCCTCCCTCCCTATAACACCGACTAACTACCTCGTGTAACAAGATGGCGCTGGGATCTGGGGGAGACCCTCATGGTCTCAGTGACATCACCCTTAGTAGGCAGAGCACTAAGACAACTACTTAACACCTGACCAATTAATACAGTATTATTCCATGTTAATTTGCTTTAAAAGGGACCTGCCGTCCCCTCTGAATAAACATTCCTCAAGTTATTCAACAACCTGAAACTTGTGTCTGGTGTGAATTACTTTAGGGAGCGTGCACGCATTGTTTTTCAATTTGGCCAGGGGCAGATACACAAAGAATAATCAATTGATTGAATTGATTTCCATTTCAGTAATAAGTTAACATACAAGAAGCAGAGTTTGGGTAACGGAAGAGAACAGAAATGTACCCTTGAAATTTAGTCCAAGAGTGGCTTATTCCACAAGGATCACCTCTGGCCATTGTGCATGAGGGCATCCAGTATCTTGAAAATCCCCAATATTAAACTATTGATTCATGCTGAAAGAGGTAAGTGAAAGAGACCGTTTTTAACCCTCTTATGAATGGGGGCGGGGTGGCAGAGAGACACTATAGCATTAGAAATACAGTTTTGTATTCCTAACCCTAAATTGTTCCTTTTAGCTTATTGCCCCAGTTCCTCTCATTCAATGTAGAAATCCAACTTTTACCCCAATACATTTTCATTCTTTTTTTTTTTGTAACATCAATCAGAATTACCCAGACATGGCATATTATTATTTCTATTATTCATTGCTTTTATGTATTCATGTAAAAAAAAAAAAACTAAAGCATTATATATTCATATATTGTTTTTTGTTTTTTTCAAAGAGGCTAAAATACTTAAAAGAGCTAATGAATAAAAACAACTGCAGGACAATTAACGTAAAACATTACACAAACATCATATTATATTGAAAATAAAAATTGAGAATTAGCCTGAAATGATTGATACTCAGCATTATAAGGCCGGTGAGATAGCTCAGTGGGCTAATGCATCATCTCTATGTTGAGTGCATACCTCTGAAGCTGTCCAGTTGCAAAATATGTAGGGATTAGAAATCTATATTTAACAAGACTAGGCATCAACCATTGCATGCACCCTGGCTGTTAATCCCACCTATGTATGCACATTTATCAGTCTGCAAGTGTAACTACTTTTTGCACATGCCACCATTACCCTAAGGCAAATATCTAACTCACTGGACATATTACTACCGTATCAGTTCTTCTTATAGAGCTATGTGATACATAGTTGCAACAGTTATTCCTGCACCACATAATGGTATATTTGATACTTTACTATCCACTATCTTAACCAAGAAATATCTGTACCTACCTTTCCTCAGTATGTACTACTAACCTTTGACACCTTCTGTATCCCATCTACTCAGAGAGATACTTAGATTTTTTATTAAGTTCATTCTACCTTATATATTATATATATATATTTCATTTTAATATTTAGACTAGAGCTTTACACACCTCTATGGGATGTTTTAACATTCATTAATAAAATATATATTTACGGTGCTCTCACCACACTAGTTTTATTTTGGTTGTACAATTATAGGGCTCAAAACCCTTGATGAAGTGGTGAAGCTATTTTTCCTCACTTGTTAATTGTGGTAGACGAGAAAGATCTCTTTTTTTCTATGATTTTAAGAAACCCCCTTCATAAGCACAGTACATACCCACAAAAACATATTTATTCTCTTACAAGAACTCTTAGCAAAATAAACTCATTAATGATGGGACTTTCCTTTAAAATAGGAAATGATACTTATTAAAGTAACTCTGAAATATGTCGATTTCCTTCAGTCTAAAAAAATAAATAAAAATGGTAACATGTAAAAGTTTATGGTGTAGTAAGTGTGAAAACTGCACAGGGGAATCCCATCAACAATTCGGTACAGTTCCTAATGAAAGTGTTTTAGGCTGTGACTGACAATGTATTGTGTAAACAACCAGGATTAGAAAGATTTTGACCTTGGATCTGTCCTCATAAGTTTGGACAACATCCTAAATCTGTTTCCTTTGCTCTTGCAATTCTTGTAAGATAGTAAGATATTTGTGGACCCAGGACATACTTGAAAACGAGAGAAATCTCAATGTATCTTTCCTGGTAAAATATTTTATAAATAAATAAATAGTGCTTGTTAGGACACACTTGCAAGAAATTTGCTTGCTCAAAGTGATTAAATAAAGACGTGAGTTGTTGAGTTTTCTTTCACTTTCTCATAACTATAATCTTGTTATTTCAGAGTTAAATTCAGCATTACCCAACATAGAATATGTATGATAACAAAAAACAGCAGGTTTATTCACTAAATTGTGGACAAATTGTCGACAATTTACATGAAAAATATTAATGATTTTTTTTAGTTCAGCTACTTTTACTTAAATACTACAATTTGTTTATCCTAATTTTTTTTTTTTTTTTAATTCTTTATTTTTGTAGTGCACGTAAATATTACAGGCATGCCTGAGGTACCCCGAAGGCAATCCTCAGGCTTTTCCCACGCGAGCATGCGGGGTGTATTTTTAACTGGCACAATTTTTATATATTATCAGGCTTAAGAAACATAGCGTTAAAGTATCGAGTTACTTGTAGGTATACATGGTATGCAAACATGTTTGGTTCATGCGGTAACTGCGGTAATTAGTAACATGCTAGAACTAGATAGGTTTTTCCATGGAAGAGGTACAATTTTAATGCATATGCTAGCAACCTGGGCTCATGCTATGGAGACAGGCATAGTACAGGTAATGATAGAGACCTCGTTTAGTGTGCATTAGCATGTAGGTAGGTTTGCTAGAGAAGAGTAAGCTTATGGAAGTGTATACTTAGTGTATTTAGGTATATGCTTGAGTCACACTAGTTAAGCCCTGTGTACATTAAGGTTCCGTTGGCATTAACTTTACTCGGCTGGCGTTAGTAACTCAGTTGCTATAACATGGGTAGAACATGGAGCCTATACAGCGATCATGCATTTTGTTATAGTCGGTGTTCGCAGTTATACTATGCTTAATAGCAATCGACTATCTCATTATCCTAAACACTATAACATTTAACATTTAAAGACAGCAAATTGGCAACACAGTGGTATCGTGCAGTGGTACGTTACAAGCTGGGTAGGTCACAGGCTGTTAATGTTGGGCCTGCTGTTACGAGGTCGTGAGTCCCCGGGCATGTACTTTTTCAGCCGATGCCCTCTTTATGGAAGCGGTGTGTGCTCGTCGCTGGGTCTCTGCTTCCTGTTGCTGTGCGGGTGTCGAGGCGAGGGTCCCTCCAGCCCCGGGACGGTATGCAGGCCTGCATCCGTAGGCCACAAACTCGGCTACCACTAGGGCCCGGGTTTTCTCCGCTCATGGGAGTGACGGTGGGGCTAGGTTCACTCTGTCGCTTGCTTTGCTTGTGCCTCCGTCTATGTGGTCGATGCCTCTGGGCTCTCTGCCTCGTGGCCTGCAGCCCGGGTGGGCTACACAGTGTGTGGGGACGTAGTTGAGGTGGCGTTGTGCCCGAGGGCGCCTCCCTCTGTCTGCAGCTCCGCTGATCAGTCGACGGTAGTGTGGGTTGCAAGTTAAGGGCTGCTTGTTGCCGCCGTATGAGGAGATCCCAGATGTGGCTCAGTATCGCCTTTTTGCGTTGTGTGGGCTCACACCATTGTAGTTGTGTCGGTCGCATGGTCAGCCTGCATGTCTTGTTGCCAGCCGCCATTTTAGGTGCGCCTTGCATGTGATTGCGTCTTCGCTTGTCCAGTTTATCCTAATTTTTATATTTGTGCCTTTCATTTAGCCATTTCATTTTATTTCTGTGTTTTGCATCATGTTATACATATTTACGATATGCACTAGATTTTTTTTCATTGTTTTATATGTCCTTTTAAACACTTTAGATTTTTTTTCCCAATGTTTTACCAGAAAGAATTTACTTAGGTTTCTGTCTTTTCAGAATTAACTTTCTGTCTTTTGATGATACAACTGCCTTCCTACTATTGGATAAGATATGTCATATCATGTCACCACATATCTAGTAGATCAATGCCTCCAGCACACCTCTCCCAACTGGACCAAGTCCCCAATTTAACTCCAGTACCCTCAAAATATTCAGGAAACAAAGAAAAATCCACAGGTAACCTCAGGGAAATACAGAATGCTCTGTAAAAATATAGTGTGGTTGTTTCAAGGAGCACAATACGACGATATTTGAACAAAAACGAGCTGCATGGTCGAGTTGCCAGAAAGAAGCCTTTACTGCACCAATGCCACAAAAAAAGCCCAGTTACAATATGGCCAACAACACCTTGACACACTTCACAGTTTCTGGCACACTGTAATTTGAAGTGACGAGACCAAAATAGAGCCTTATGGTCACTAAAAGATTTGGGGATTACCAAAAGTGCTAAAGGGGTCTTAAATTATACATGCATAGGGGTCCCTCTGTGACTTTTTAAACTTAGGGCAATCAGTCTGCTTGCTCTAGTTCAACGGCTGTGTTAAAATAAAACTAACTTAATAATATCTCTAGTTTCTTGTAAGAGATCTTTCTAAGGGAATCAAAAATGTTAAACTTTTGGAAGACAAAAATGACCTATGCTTATAAAATGCAAGAACTGTTATGTCTAAGACATGTTGTAAGATGTCTACTGGTTCCCGTACAGGATATCATCATTTTATTAACACTTCACACTAAAACATAAAATTAATAAATATATGTGTGATATATGTGTTTCAACGTTTCGATGTCTGAGGGTCTTTTCCAAGATCAAGCAAATATGAAATAGTGGATATACAAACAGTTGTGCTCAAGTGTTTGCATACCTTTGGAGAATTGGTAATATATGTACCATTTTTAAAGAAAACATGAGTGAGCTGGCAAAACACATTTCTTTTATTTATTATGGATTATTTATTATATGAAATTATGGAATACATATTCAACTGGAAGTTATAATAGAATGACACAATCATAAAACAAAACATGGCAACAAAGAAAAAAAATTATATGACCCCTGTTCAAAAGTCTGCATACCATTAGTTCTTAATACTGTGGATTGCCCCCTTTAGCATCAATGTCAGCATGCAGTCTTTTGTAATAGTTGTCTATGAGGCCCCTAATTCTTGCAGATGGTATAGCTGCCCATTCATCTTTTCAAAATGCCTGCAGGTCATGTAAAATCTTTGGTCGTCTTGCATGAACCGCATGTTTAAGATCTCCCCAGAGTGGCTCGATGATATTGAGGTCAGGAGACTGTAATTTCCACTCCAGAAACTTCACCTTTTTCTTCTGTAAGCACTGGAGGGTCAGCTTGGCCTTGTGTTTAGGGTCATTGTCATACTGGAATGTCCAAGTTTGTGCAGAAGAATGCAAATTGTCTGCCAGTATTTTCTGATAAAATGCTGCATTCATCTTGCCATCAATTTTCACAAGATTCCCAGTGTCTCACCCCCTTTCCCTTCCAAAACATCAGTGAGCCACCACCATGCTTCACAGTGGGGATGGTATTCTTTTCACTATAGGCCTTGTTGACCTCTCTCCAAACATAGCGCTTATGGTTGTGATCATAAAGCTATATTTTGGACTTGTCACTCCAAATTACAGTGTGCCAGAAACTGTGAGGTGTGTCAAAGTGTTATCAGACATATTGTATCTGGGCTTTTTTTTTGGCATTGGTTCAGTAAAGGCTTTTTTCTGGCAACTTGACCATACAGCTCATTTTTGTTCAAGTATGATCGTATTGTGCTCCTTGAAGCAACCACACCATCTTTTTCCAGAGCAGCCTGTATTTCTCCTAAGGTTACCTGCAAATTTTTCTCTGTATCCCGAACAATTCTTCTGGCAATTGTGGCTGAAATCTTTCTTGGTCTACCTGACCTTGGCTTTGTATCAAGAGATTCCTGAATTTTCCACTTCTTAATAAATGATTAAAAAGTACTGAATTACATTTTCAAGGCTTTGGAAATATTTTTTATATCCTTCTCCATCTTTATAAAGTTCCATTGCCTTGTTATGTAGGTCTGACACTTCTCTTCTGCTTCCCATGGCTCAGTATCTAGCTTGCTCTGTGCGTCCACATGAGAGATAACAAACTCATTGACTATTTATACACAGACACTAATTGCAATGTAAAATGCCACAGGTGTGGTAAATTAACCTTTAAAAGAACACTATAGGGTCAGTAACACAAACATGTATTCTTGACCCTATAGTATTAAATCCATCATCTAGACTCCCTTGGCTCCCTCTTGCCTCCCTAAATATAGTAAAATATTACTTATATTCAAGTCTGCAGCTGCTGGTTCTCCCCTGACCTGCCTGCTGTCTGCTGACATCAGAAGTGGTGGTTTGAGCCAATCACAATGCTTCCCCATAGGATTGACTGAGACTGTCAAGGAGACAGATCAGGGGCAGTCAATGCAACTCTATGAGGAAAGTTTAGTGTCTGCATGCAGATGGTGGAGACACTGGATGACATGTTCTCATCTGTGGGCATTAGGTTAAGCCTAAAATAATGTAGGGTCACAGATAACTATCACTGGACAGATCATCCCCTGTGGCCAGCAGATGAGGGCTATTACACAAAACAAGCCAGAGATGACATACTAGTGGTCAGCAGAAGGGGGCTACTTTCTAAAATAAAAGGGGGGACCTGGCATGGGGGCTATTCATTTTGTCATAACCAGGGGAGGTCCTAATGACCCCCAACCCTCAATATGGGTGGTAGGTGGAAGCTGGTTGCTTTATAATAAATGGGGTGACCTAATGTTTCCCTCATGATGGGGTCTATTAGTTTTAAAATAATCCAAGATGAGCGGCAGGTGGGGCTAGTAAAATATAGAATGGGGGTAAACATTTCATTTTGACCATGGCCCACCTTCCACAGTGCCCCCCTCTACCAGGTTTCCCCTTATTTTACAAGGGCTGCCCAATCACTAAATTATAGAGCAGTCACTGGCTGCCCACTGTTTAGTAGATATTCCCCCACCCGCAGCATGGGTTTGCTGTTAAAATTATAATTTACTTGCTAAAAGCAAGTGAACAATAATATGCTAATGTGCATCTTGTTGGATGCATTTGGTCACAATAAAAATTGGTGCTTTGTACTCATTGCGAATAGTATAATTTCTGTAGGATTCAGATACATAAGCACTAATTTTAAACCAGACACTGAACGCTTCCAATGAATGGCACAAGATGAGCTAAAACCAGCTTGAGATCTGCAGGGTAGGCTCACTGAAGGCTACTTGATCAGTTGCCCTTTCTCAGTATTCTTACACCTTGTTTTTTTTTTCTCTCCCCAAGTTTAAAGGGTAATCCAGACGTGGACCCCTTGCTCATGTTGTCCAGAGGTGTATCAACTATACATCACTGATGATGCCTAACAAGGTTGAAACAATGGGATAGCAGTGCTGTATCTCTCGTGCAGAGAAAGATGGCCTGTATTTTGGATTTGGACCACTGTTTTGGGTGGTATCAGCAGGGATGTTTTAGCTGCGAGGCAAACAAGGCATTTGCCTTGGGCAGCATTTTCCAGGGAGCGGCAAAAAAAGCCGCCCCCGAATGCCCAGGGCAAATGTCTTGTTAGCCTTGAGGCTAACTGACATGCTGGGCGGGCTGATGGGCTGGCTGCTGGGCGGTCGGGGAGCGCAGGCGGGCGGCTGCCGAGGGAGCACTTCCCCTGAGCTGTCTGCTCAGCTCCCTTGCGCGCCGCAGAGTGAGGCTGGGAGCCGGAATATGACGTCATATTCCAGTTCCCAGCATCACTCTGCGGCGTGTGAGGGAGCTGAGCAGAGTGCTCAGGGGAAGTGCTCCCTCGCCAGCCGCACGCCAGCGCCGCTTGCCCAGCAGCCACTGGACCCCCAGGGATAAAGAGACCCCCCCACCATTCCCAAAGGTAAGGAGGCTGGGGAGGGTTAAATAAAAAAAAAATGTGTTAATGTGAGTGAGTGTGTGTGAATGTCTGTTAGTGTGTGTGTGTGTGTGTGTTAGTGTGTGTCTGTTAGTGTGTGTGTCTGTTAGTGTGTGTGTGTCTGACTGTGTGTGTGTCTGTTAGTGTGAGTGTGTTTGCCTGTGAGTGTGTGTGTGTGTCTGCGAGTGAGTGTGTGTCTGTTAGTGTGTGTCTGTTAGTGAGTGTGTGTGTGTGTGTCTGTTAGTGTGTGTCTGTGTGTGTCTGTTAGTGAGTGTGAGGGTTTCTGTTAGCTAGTGTATGCATATCTGTGAGTGTGTGTGTATTAAGAAGGCGGGGGGGAAGGGTTGGGTGGGAGAGGCGCGGGGGGGCACGGGGGCACCTGAGTTTTGTCATGCCTAGGGCAGCACAAAACCAGGATACACCACTGGGTATCAGTCTGATATGCAAATGGCCCTGGTTCTTTTTTGTAATGGCACAAGATGAGCTAAAGAGTATTACAGATGTGGACCCCTTGCTTAGGGCACAGGGCAGAGTGGGGAGATCTGTCTGAGCCAGGGCCCTAGGCGGCCACTATGCCACCTTATGTGCAATCTGGCACTGTTTAAAAGAACATCACAAAACAATGTCAATATATCATCTCCAAAATATGTTTAAGGTACAATTTTCTCCTTGGGAAAGTTTCTAGTGAGATTTCATACTTATTTATGATTTTTGGTTATCTCCAGTAAAAGCAAAACTTAATTTTAGCAATATATCTTCATAACAGCAGTTACCTGCAATGGTATGTAATTAAGTTCGATAATACAGCAAAACACGCCTTTTAACAGATGGGTTAAATTATACATCTTAATAAACTAACACAAGATTATAAGGTTTCCTGACTACTGGAGATGATGATCAGTTTCAGGTGAGGGTACTGTGTTCTTGTTCATATTAAATGTATCCAGGTGTGAGCTACCGTTAGTTAAACGTTGCTGCAATGTTTAAACATAAAGGTGGTTGTGTTGAAGTAATGTATATGGATTTCCATTTACCAGACGTGATGCATCCTTGAAAGTTTAGAGTTTGCTTTTTTTTTTTTTTACAAGAAATTGCTCAGAAATTGAAGTTTAGGTTTGCAGACGCGCAGTGGTGTATTTTGGATTTGTGCTGCCCTAGGCACGACTAAATTTGGGCATCCCCAAAATCTAAATTTGCCCCCCCAATTCGTGTCAAGGCCATTTTTTTGACTGACAGACACATGCCCTCATTGATACATGCACTGATATACACTCACTGACAAATACACAGTCATTGGCACACACATACAGTCATTGGCACACACTTTCACTGACAGACACACCCACTCACTGACAGGCACACACTCTCAGATACACATAAAATGACATACACACACTGACACACACTCACAGGCACACCCATTCTCACTGAAAGACACACACTGACAGCTACACTCACTCACAGTAAGGTGGACAGCCCCAGAACACGAGGCAAACAAGGCATTTGTCTGGGAGCTTCACCCCCCTGAAAGTGCCCTAGGCAAATGCCTTGTTTGCCTTGTGGTAAATACATCCCTGGATTTACAAATGAAAAAGCCTTCATTCTACAAGCTTGCATCCTTTTAAATGTTAAGTTACATTGGGATCTCCATGACTTTATATAAACTTTTTAAAATGTATTAATTGCACTCACTCTATCTTTGCAGAAACTCCACTCATTTGGTGACTTCGTGTAAGAAACTGACTTCTCTGGGAGGTTACAATGATTGAAAAGATCAGACAAAATGAGGTCAATATTAGTTAATGGATGCGGGTCTATCTACAAGCTACATGTCATGTATGATGAATATCAACATTTTTCTTGAACAATTACAGACAGGATCCGCACATCGAGACACGTTCCTTGCAATCTGTGATGAACATGTGCACATGCATTTCTTGGAGGGAAGCAGCCACAGCTGGACATTATTATGTGAACGCATTAATAGGTGCGCAGTCCACAGCAGAGGCTCTGAAAAAAATATCCATCCATTTACAGGAGAAATTCTTAGCACAATGTGTATATTTAATTTGTAGATGACAAGTCCATGTGTTCATTTCTCATCTGGCAGTTCATACATTTTACATTCCAAACTCAATCATATTGCTGCCCAATCAGTTTTAATTTAATAGATCAACTTCAACTTTGTCCCTTTAGCTCATCTACTGATGGAGAATGAATTATTTTACCTATGCAATGCTTAGTGAACATTCCCCTAGACATACAGAGCTATAAATATAGACACTAACCTATAGATAGTATTGCATACTGAGACGTGTATTTAACAACATGTATTATTCTGTAGCAACAGATATCTTAACAAGCTTCCCTTGATGGCTCTTTTGGTGAGAAATGGTGAGGAAATCGAGGTGAAAAATTAATAAAAGGCCCACAGGTGTAATTAGTACATCTGGAGATACCTTGCCTAACTCTCACCTGCAGTAATCATAGATACAGGTAAATAAAGGGTTAAAAAGCCTTTTTTGTCCTAGTTAGGTCTTTCCAAGTCTGCAGGGGTTAAAAGCAAGAATTTTATCTCTTGGCTGCAATTGATACTCACCTTATTTCACAGCGCAAGCTGACACAGGGAAGATAACCTTCGCATAGTTTAGAGAAGACGTGCTAGACATGCGCAGTAGATTTCCTGTAATACGTAATGTTATATGAGAAATTGTACTTTTTGCACTGAATGTCTATGATTGGTTGATTTTGTCTTCTGTTGGATACACTTCTATGAAAACTCTGTACCCGCAGTAAAAAGCCATGATTATTTTTCTGAAACTTCATAATGACTGGTCTGCATTAATTGTACACAAAGATTAAATAAAGCAGGATGTGTTATGGCATATATCCATGGCAGCTTAAGGGTTACAGACCCTGTAAAATTCTTAACATCTACCCTATCAGAAAGAGTCATTGTTTTGTGTTTTTCACCGATTCTTTTATTATTTCTATAGAAAAAAGCCTGATGTAAAAGAGTCACATTATTACCACCAACATCAATGTGAAAGCATTTTCAGATTCCATAACTGTCAAGACTGTACTGTGACAAAAATTGGACCTGGGCATTTAAAGGCAGAGCAACCAAATAGGATGGAGTGTTGTCATCACCAGTGCCATGGACATTTCAATTCAATGCCCTCTGAGGACCGCCATGCACATAACTTTACTGAAAAATCTCTCACATGGGAAAAGTCCCTGTGTTTGTTTAGCAGCACACACAAGCAAATTTATTTATTTTTTGTTTATATTCTTTATTAATCATATTAATTTCTACACAACATAAAACAGACTATACAATAAGCGGCCATTAATGATTATACATATGGGCAATACCTGTTGTGATATTTATAGATCAACCGAGAAGAGCAAATGCCACCCGAGCAAATTATGCTTCATATTCAGATTTAAATTAAAAGATCTTTATAGTGTCAGGAAAAACAAACAAACCCGTTTTCCTGACACTATATAATCCTTGGGGGACCCTCACCCTCAGGGTCCCCCTCCCGTGGCGCTGAAGGGCTCCAGCGTTGGGCTCCCTCGGCGCTGGTGACCTCTCCTCCCCCGCCGACGACAGCTCCTGAGTGGAGCGGAATGCGCATGCACGGCAAGAGCCGCGCGCACATTCAACAGTCCTTTGGAATGCATTTCTAAATGCTTTCCTATGGACGTTCCTGCACTCTGGATGTGAATTTCACATCCAGCGTTGCAGAAGCGCCTCTAGCGGCTGTCAGGAAGACAGCCACTAGACGTTGGATTAACCCTGCTATGTAAACATAGCAGTTTCTCTTGTACTGCTATGTTTACATCTGAAGGGTTAAAACCTGGGGGACCTGGCACCCAGACCACTTCATTGAGCTGAAGTGGTCTGGGTGACTATAGTGTCCCTTTAAGAATGAATATAGGCCATCCGATGTATTAGCAAACATACATATAAATGTACATTACAACCATTTACATAAGACAAGACAATACAAGCTTTTATCTCTGAAATGCCAAGGAGAGGAGGGGATTTACTATTTATAGGTTTTTAATAAATCCAATATTTTAGGCCGGTACTTTAAGTCCTTTACCAATTTTATTGTTTTTTTATCCTGTCCGTGGATATGAACCATATATAAGAACTTTGTGTTTGTTACGCAAGTCTACTTGTAGTTACCTGTTGGGTTATTCTCTTAGATTTCTGTTATTGATTTTATTTCTTGTGTATCAACTTTGTTATATAGATGAAAATGGATTTATATCTATTAGTTCCCAACATGTGTTCCAAAGAGATGATTTCTTACTCATATTTTGTATACTAAACCTTTGTTCCATTTTGATCTGGAATTTGAGTTGGTTTTTAACTTGTAACCAAGAGATGGAATTTCCAATTTTCCAGTTCCTAGATATAACTATTTTAGTGGCTAAAAATAAATGAGTTTTTGTTAGTTTAACCTCCGGGGACATAGGGGGCCAGTTTAAGTTGAGTAATACTACTTCTGAAGATAATTTCAATTCAAAATGTAAATTTGTTACAATAAATTGATGTATTTCTCCCCATAGTTTTTTAAATTTTATACAGTCCCACCAAGTATTTGTATATGTTCCAGTAGATAACCCGCACCTCCAACATAGGTGATCTTCTGTAGGGAACATCTTGCTCATTTTTTTTGGAACTAAATGCCATCTATTGATTACTTTAAAATTGGATTCTATTAGATTTAAAGAATTTCACACAAGCAAATTTAAAGAAATACTACAAGCACCGTATTGTTCCAGGAGTGCCCTGGCCTCACCCCATTATAAGTAGTCAAACTGTTTTTGAAGTGTCGCTGCCCACTTCTACTACAATATCAAAGTTGTTAGTTCCTCTGTTAGCACTCCTGAGCTAGCTCATCTAATCATGAGAGAACATCACCTAATCATTGTCAGCAAAGCCACCTAAGGCCAGGTAAGAAGTCGAACCATTCAAAAATTATTTGACTCATTACAATGGATGTGTGTCAGGGGGGCACTCCTGGCACCATAATCACTTCAGTGAGTTGTAGTGGTTATGGTGCTTGAAGAGTTCCTTTAAGGATATACTTGCTCTGTGTTTGCTGTTTAATTATCTTGTGTGTCCCCATAAGTGGGAAAAACAGAGAACAAAAGCTGTTCATGGCTTTGAGATGGTGTTGTGTCTGTGTGTTGTATGGGAAGTCTTTTTGCAGGGTTGTGCATGTTTGTGTATGGATATGTCCATTTGCTGTGTTATGTGTGTTGATAGGACTGTTAGTGTATGCGTGAATGTGTTCATAGGGACCAAATCCAATTAGTTATTGTATTAATGTTAACATGAAAATTGATTAATAAAAATGCACAAGAAATATAACCCTCACAAGAAATAGTGTGTCAACATAAACAACTAAACACGTTACCATGTATTAGACAAGTGACAACATGTATTTCACAAATACTACCATGAATATTTAGCATGAGACCAGCAGGTGTGCTAAAATTGTTGTACTTTGTTAATTTATTTCAGCGTCTTTGAAATGTATTTCCTTGCTACTAGATTGCAAATAAAGATAAACATACACACGCCTATATTTGTTATGTGAGCCAATGCACTGACTAAATATATTTGTGAAATACAAAAGAAAAAGTATTTAAACTTGCTATTTGATTAATATTGTTCTACAAACCCCAGAAGCAATTGTTTGTCAGTGTACTTTGTTAAGATTTACCAGTACCTGATTCCCAAGGTTTTGTCCCAAACAGTTAACCATAGATGTATTAGCAGACTGATTCTTCCACAATTCTTTTACAGAGAAGACATTAGTACATAACACAATACATTACAGAGAAGACATTAGTACATAACTATGTTAAGATGTCCGTCAACTTCCTGTTTTGAAGGACAGACATTGTTATGCTCTTACAAAAATCCCCTTCTTATTATCAAAACACTTCAACTTCCCATCTAAATAGCATTATTAATATCAGGCTGCAATTATAAAATTAAACAGGACAAGGAGAAAAATATTAATTTAAGTAAAAAACATATACACCGACCATACATGTTACAGTGAGCCTGTCAGAATACGTTCACTTTAAGAGATAACATGTCACAATGCATTGAATATATAGTTCAACATAGCAAAAAAACTAAATCACATATTTAATTGCTTTACTGTTTAATCAAATGCTTATCCCTTATCCAGTGCCAACAGCAACATCATAGTGACTGGTCCGAGGATGGGATACTGTTTCTACATTATGTAACTTTACTTCCTGCCCATTTCCACATCCTGGTGATGCTGTAGATCAAGCATGTCAAACTCAAGGCTAACTCGGGCCAAATAAACAAGGCTTAAGTTTATGTGGGCCGCAAAAAAAAAAAGAGTTCGACCTAGACCAACACAAACTAAAATTACTTGTATCATTCTCATGCAAACAATATGTAATCCTGGGTACATATATATAATTCACTCAAAAGCTTCACCTCAAGTTACTTACTATCTCAGTAGTAATGTATGAAGTGTCCGCTCTGCTTGCTCCCTCAGTCCCTCCCTGTGCAAAATGCAGTCTCAGCCAGGTA